AGTGTGCCATCGGTGCGCCACGCCGCCGGTGTTCGCACCGTTTGTGTTCACGCCGCCGGTGATTACGCCGTCTGTGTTTGCGCCGTCGGTGTTCACGCAGTCGGTGCTCGCGCATTCGGTGTTCGCATCGGTCGTGTTCACGCCGTCAGTGTTCATGCCGTCTGGGTTCTCGCCGTTGATGCTCGCGCAGTCGGTGTTCGCGCAATCATTGTTCACACGCCACCGACCTGTGGTGGCCTAGACCCATCTGTCCTGGTTGGATGGCAGCCAGCGATTCTGACCAATCACCGCGCTTGGCTTTTGTCTCGTGTGCTGCTGTTCCATGTTGAAGGACGTTGGTTTGGTTGATTTTTACGGTGTTCTTGTCGGTTGTGAGTTGTAACTTTCTTTAGTTTGCAGGTGACCGAAGTCCTGGAAGCCTTGTGGTGTTGAGGCTTGTCGGTACGACGGTGCTGACGTTAGCCGTGCAGCCCACGCTGTGAACAGATTTGTTTAAATGTTGAAAAAATAAATAAATAAACAGTGGAAATGCACATTAGCAGTCAGCAATGACGTAACAAGCGGTCCGCTCCGTCGACAACCGCAAATAGGACGTCCCGCACACAACTGAAAATATCGTACGAGTACTGGCGCGAAACCGTACTCCCAGTGATTGCGTGTCACCGTAAGGGATGCATAATCATTCTCCTGAATCATGATGTACCATTTCAACACATATGTTGACCTTCTCTGGCACGGGTGTTTATACAACCCTCCAGTTTGCCGAGGGTACCTGCCAAAGTGTTTCATGCATCAAAATGAAGTTTAGTCTGCTTACTCTGAGACAATTTTTGCATGCCCGCAATGAATTATCGCCAATTTAGGTCACCGATTTGCGAACTTATTCTTAGAGCTTCGCATGAAATATTTAAAAACTGGGCGCCTTGCGATGAATTCTTAGTCCCATGTGAGTCAGGTTTTTTTTCTTCCAATGGTTCGGAGGATGCGCAGCGTCTATGAGATGTGCATCGTCAGTTATCTTGACCCTTCTTAAGGTCATTTGTAAAGGTCATTAATCCAAGTCTTGGTAATACGTGAATATGTTCCTCAACTGCGTTATGCCATGAGCTAGCATGACTGAGAAATGTCCATGGTAGTGTGCTGGTCAGTCAAGGTCAAGATCATGTCAGTCTAAATATCTGCAAAACTTCCCCCGGGCAATGCAAATAAATATCACGGTGTCATGACGATGAGCGCTACGTTTTCTCAGGTCAAAGTCATGGCAGGCTGCGAAATATCCTCATGTGATCTCATATCATCCCTTCAAGGAAAATGATGGCATGCTTTTAGTTGAATTAACTATATTTTGAGCCTACGTAAGGCTATGGAAAAACAGTGAAACAGCTGATTGCACGGCGCTTGTTCTGACACGTCAGGGCAGCCGTCACAGACACCGGTGATGTCCCGGAGTAAAGGCGGAATGTCGCGTGCAGGCCGCCCACCCGTTGTCGAATGTTGCTGTTGCACTTTGCGTGACTGATCAGCAAGCGGGTTAAACATTTCCTGTGACATTGGATGCAGCAAACAAGCACGTGTGGGCGAAGATTATGAGACGGACCATGCAGAACGCCGTACAGACTGCGTCGCGTCTGTCGCTCGCAGCCGCCGCAGCCTTCTGCACACAGTCACGTTCCTTTTACCAGGGGAAAGAAGACATCCGCTTGAGATACCAGCGATACCTCGTGTGACTCGATACATAATGCATGCGAGACGCAGCGGCCCGGGAGCATGTACCGCATACATATGTTGCCTCGTTGAAGCCAGCTCTGGTCCTGAGCGGTTCTTAGGTGCATTCGCCCACGCAACCGGCCATAGCCTTGAGTCTATGGTACCTGCTGTCAAGGATTCGCTCTCACACCAGGCCATAGCCTTGAGTCTATGGCACCTGCTGTCGCCGAATCGCTTTGACATTCGGCCAAAGTCGCGAGCCTGCGGTACCTGCTGTCAAGGATTCGCTCTCACACCTGGCCATAGCCTTGAGTTTATGACACCTGCTGTCAAGGATTCGCTCTCACACCTAGCCATAGCCTTGAGTCCATGGTACCTGCTGTCAAGGATTCGCTCTCACACCTGGCCATAGCCTTGAGTCTATGACACCTGCTGTCAAGGATTCGCTCTCACACCTGGCCATAGCCTTGAGTCTATGGTACCTGCTGTCAAGGGTTCGCTCTCACACCCGGCCATAGCCTTGAGTCCATGGTACCTGCTGTCAAGGATTCGCTCTCACACCCGGCCATAGCCGCGGGCCTGCGGTACCTGCCGCCACGGATTTATGTGCACACTCGCACTGCTCGGCAATATGCTAACTACTGGCACTCCGTATAGGGACACGGCCTGCCTATCAAAGCCATTTCCTGACACCCGTGTGTAATTTAATGGAGCAGAGCAGACATTTATCAAACTTGGCGACTGACGTTAGATAGCGGGCCAGATGCGGTCTGGCCGCCGCTCTCGGCGGCTGGCAGGCTCTGGCTACCGTGACGGAACGCTCTGGCCCGTTCGAAGCTCACGCGGGCCTGTGGCGCGGTGCTGCACGGCGGTGGATCACGTCCGAAACAGTGTCCGAGCACACTGTGCCGCGTCCAGCATGCTTATCTCAGTTTTAGGCAAATGCCTCCCGAGTCACGTGTTAGTTTGCATTCAGACTTGGACAGTATTACGGTGGAGCAGATATGTGTTAGAGGCGTAAATCGTTCGGGCAATATCGGTATGTGCGGAAGTTATATAACAAAGCACTCCCAGCGGTGGGCGGAGGCATTACCGACGAAAATTATTAATTATTATTGGCAAGAAGTTGACGGCTTCTTGGCGTCGTTGCGCTCCGATCAGAAGCACGTGGCAAGCGAGACGCACCATTGGCTCCTCAGTGAAATTCCATGGGCAAATGTTGCGCCCGAAACGAAGCCAGTCTGGGTTTGGACACGTGCGTTATCCTACCTTGTTGGGAGTGACGGAGCAAACCGCGCTCTTTCCAACGTTTTTTCGCACACCGCATGGATGGAGAATGTTTAGAAAGGTCGGCAGAGCAAAGCTACTTCTGAGCCTAAATCTTTATGACAGTTAGCATGGTGACTGTCAGCCTGCCCCATTACATTCTCCACCATGGGCTGATGACTGCAAGCAATACCCTGCCACTATGACGTTTCAGTAAAAGGGCGGAATGATAGCAGGCAATCGGAGAATTCTGATCGGTTAGCTCCAAGGTTCTAGCACTACCAGAAAAAGTATATTTACATTTTACGGGTAGCATTTGACCAGGAAGATTCCAACGTCTGCTCCGTATGAGCACAGATACGTTTGTTATGCGCAACACGGTCAATCGATGTAGTCGTTGTCAAGAAGGAAAATCTAAGACGTCTCGAGTACCAGTCATGCAATGCATCACTCATCCAGGTTGTGACGACTACGACAACGGAGCGCGCATTCTAACAATCAGCCCCGCATGTCGATTCTGAGGGCTTTGCACGATATCCTGGTGGCAGTCACAATCTAGTGACTGTAAGACATTGCTGACACGGGCCGGCAGACTTTAAACCGTCATCAGTGTCTCAGAGCGTTTGGAAATGAGATAATCTTAGCATTAAAGTACATTTGCCTCTCAAAGCCTGTCTCTTTTGGAAAGATCCAGCTTTATCTATCATTCTTGGTGAAACTGACTGAACCGTGGACAACGAGCATGTATGTATGCCACTCCCATGTCAAATGTCCTTCGATGGTCAGCTCTATTACATTTCTGGGGTGCAAAACTCTGAGCACGCATTAGAAGTCGACAGCGACAGCACGCATACGCCAGTGACGCAACTATGTTTTCTTAAGGCTACAACACACCTGGTAGCAACCAGAGCAGCACAAAAGGCGTGATGAGATTGGGCATCCGGCGCAATTTCGGCGCGCTGCTTTGCTTTGCTCACATGTTATGTGACATGTGCAGCATGTATCTTTGGGTACGCGCATGGAGTGGCGCGTGAGCCGAAGCAGCTTGAGTATGCCCCTCCCTTAGAATTATATGTGAGGCGATTGGGCAGCATTTGTAACCCGATTTATCAGTTCTGTCTAGCTCTGTAGCTTTTGGTAGAAGTGCAGAGCTCTTTTAGTTATTTTAGCTTTCAGTTCTGTAATTGTAGTTCTTAGCATAAGAATGATATGCAAGCTCAACTGCACCAGAAAATATGGGTCAGCTGTTCCAAAAACTTTAATGAAATGCTTGAAATCCAAAGAAAAGCATATTTTTACTGTAGCGTATGGTGGTTTGTTAGCCAAAATGCTTAAACGTACTTCGCTTTAAGCCTGCGACAAGTTGGTAGAGGTCAATTTTTATCGGGTGGTGAGTTTTCCGCATCTACCGGTGTCCGGAGAAAACCCGCTTGAATATCTGCAGATTCAAGCAATTCCTATCAAAACGATGCTAAATGCGAAGAGTTTGCCGTCAACCAAGTGGTAAAACATGTGTACTTGCTTTGCACCGCTTGTCGCGGGTTGGCCCTCCACGCAAGTGTAAAAAACTTGTTTTCTGGAATACGTCCACACACCGACCCCGATATCGTACCAGCTCCTCCCAGGCACACAATGGTGCGTTTTGCCTTTGTCAGAGAAATTCAGTACACGTGCTCGCCGAGTCAATTTCTCATACGCATGATGTCCTGAAATGTGCTTGCAAGCAGCAGCTTGGCAGCATAAGGTAGGAGACAAAAATTACTGAAACGAGCCATCATTACCATGCGACTAAACTCGCCACGGCGATTTCAATACGGCCCTCGAACGGTGCATACCACGTGATGACATCAGTATCACGGAAGATGCGAGACGTATGGTACAGGAACTGAGATTGTGGGTTTCACTTCCGGACATAAAGCTTCATGGACTCCATCGTCTCCAACGGAAATAGAGCGGGCCAATCGACGACATCGCCCGGCTCCTCCGTGCAAGATCGCCGTAGATCACAATGCTCCGATGTCACTTACCATCAGATGCAGCAGAAGCAGGCACGCTACTCTGCGTGGCATGGTGAGGCGCTGGTAGGCTGGTGAACAATTCACATAGTGCCCGCGCTCTGCCGCGCACCAGCCACGCTCCGCGTCGCTGTCCTCCCTCCGGCGGGTCGGCAGAGGCGGCCGGGAGCAGCGGCACCGCGTCCCACTGGGTCGGACGAGCACCGAATTATGGAAAACAAACCCGCCGCGGCGGCGTCGGCGCACGCTGGTGCTGCCACCTGCCGTACGGCGGCTCAACCGCCGGCTGGTGCTAGCGTCGTGTGCGCGGCGAGCGCGGCCGGCGCCGCGGTCTCCGGCGTCCGTGCCGGCGCCTCCGGCGGCCCATTGGGCACGGCCGGCGACACGCAGCGTCGGCCTTCGACGCAGCGGTGTCCTACTCTGGCCGAACAAGGCCTGATCCCACGTCGGCACCCTTCCTCCGCCGGACGGGTGCCAGCGCGGGATCCAGAGCGCGGAGTCCGGCGTTGGGGGTTGGGCTCGCCGACGCGGGTGGGGTCGACAGGCGCCACCACACGTCGGCGATGGGACGGCCGTCCGCCGGCCGGGCGCGCACCGCAGGGCGGGATTAGGCCTTGTTCGGCCAGAGTGGGACTGGCGTGGCGGTGTAAGCCGTGCCACGTCGTGTCGCTCGTCGTTGCGCTAGACGGCAATTGTCCGAGCTCAACCGGCGGACATTGGTGGACGTCTCATCGACACGTCCCATTGTCCCGATCTGCACGGGCCTCTCGCCAGAGCCGCGCTCTGCCGCCTCTAATCCGCCGTGTGAATCGAGCGGACGGTGGCTGGCGCAGCCACGTCCCCCGTTCGTTCCCAGGCTGTACGTCCAGCCGCTTGAGGTCTGACCAGCCAGGAGGCAGCGCTGGAGGAAATGCCACTGCTGGCCAGCCTTCGTTGGCCGGCGGGTGCAGACACCACCGGTCAGGTCTCATTCCTTTGTCACCTCATCACCCGCCCATTGGTCTCCCGTAGAGGCACGTTAAATTTGGCCGACTCAAACTAAGCCATGAGTGGGTGACTGTTGTTCGGCGTTTTGCATAGTGATTATGGGTTACGAGCAGTTTATATTAAGTGGGGATTTGGATGCCGCACCGCTCCTCATTCAAGCCTCATGGAATGCCGTTACAATGACAGTCGGGATGATAGATAGCAAACATGATGATAAAAGGCCGTTCAGCGAGTTCACGGCGTGCACAGGAGAATGGGTAAAAACAGATCGCCGGTGTGGTTCGTCGACGGACAAGGGTGCAGTCGATTCCACTCCACCAATGCCGACAATTGACTGGGTAACCTGACTTCTCAGCTGGCCTGATATGTTCTCAGGGTGAAGCTCATCTCTGCTCAGGGCGACTGGCCGCCGGGTGCCATAATCCAGCTAACCCTGTTCCTAATTCCTCAGCTGCTTGGAGTACCCGATGACTTACTGGAGGGCGGGAACACAATTACGCTGCTGTCTCGACTCAAAACTCTCGAGCTCGTTAGAGGAGCGGCAATGCATTACATTCTCCGGTTTGAAGGCTTTACGCTGCTAAGAAGACATTGCACGTGGTTGTCGGGTGCAGAGAAACGAAGACGCTGCAAGTCGAGCAAGGCAGCCGTGCATTCCCTGGCACGCATTACAGGCATAACTTTGCCAACTAGAACTGAATGTTGTTTTGTAGGCATGTATATTCAACCGCTTTTGCAGACCCCAAACACTCTTAACGACACTTTGCCGAGGAGGTATTCAAACAGTCAAGTTTTCAGCCACCCCCTTGGAATTTAATATGTTTTATTTTAGCGTCTACGGAGGCTCCCATCTATTCGCCGCGTCCCGAACTTGCATCTTAGCACCGGCCATTTTGTTGGAAACGGCCGTGTCTGGCTGGCCAGCCGTCGCGCCACTGACCGGCTCCGGCCCGGCCAGCCTCGTCTCCATTTTCGGCTAACGAGGAGCCAGTTCCGGCTGCAGTCGGCGCCGCTGTGTCCGAGGGGTGAGATGTAAATGAGCCGGCACCTCTTCAGATTAATGCCTCACAGTCAGAGAATGGCTCAGACAGGGCCGGCACGAACACAGCCATATATAACGCCTGGCGCGACCGCGAATAGTCGGCGCCATCTGCCGAGGGCAAGCCCTTCTGTGTCTCCGCAGTCATGTCAGCTTGCGAGAGCCAGCCTATCTGGGCCCCATAGCCGTGACACATGGTGGGGGCGAGCCTCTCCGGGGCCGGCACAATTATGGCGGCCGGTGGCGACAGCCTTTTAGCCATGTCATTGCCGTCATGACAGATAGATTCTGGAAAACCTTTTTAATTTTTTCGAAACTATGATACTTTGTTGGTAAAAGTTATGCCTTTATTCTCTTCATATTGTAACCATAAGGTGGAGCCAGTGTAAGTCAGGCAAGTGTGATGTTGCTGAGATATCATTTCTTATTTATGCCAAACCACGTAACTTATAGATATCGTTGTCTGTTGCATGCATACAAAACATTCGTGAGATAATCAATTGCTTGACTTATTTCTCAATCAAATGCCGTCTGCCACGGCTGCAATGGCTTAATCCTCGTCCCGGTTGGACGATTTTCATATGACAAACTGAAAAAAGGTTCGATGCGAATCCCCCCCCCCCGGCGTTTTTGAGCTGATATAGATTGAGCTTAACAAAAAAAAACACCAGTAGATTGGTCGTCTCAACCAGATTTCGCGATTAGTGCTAGTTTGCATGTTGATAGATTAGAAACTGACCTCACTATTCCAGGTTAAAAGTCAAACTTTCGTCAAAGCCGCCGTTTTTCAGCTATATAACATCATACCTCCGAAACTATGTCTTGTAACGGTTCAAAACACAAACAGGTTTGCTTTCTCGTTTAATTCCGAGTATAACGGTGCATGCTTTAATGGGTTTTAAGCATATCTTTATGACATATGACTCTGTTACAGTAGCAATGTCGGCCCGCTGCGCGCGTTTCGTGGCATCGTCGGGTTGTCGGCCCGCGCCGGCCGTAGATCGTCTTGCAGTGTTCATCAAAAACCGCCGCTACTCTAAAACCAGAAAAGCCAGGGCCACATTTTTGGTGTCAGAACACGTGCAATGGATGACCCATAGCTAATGCAAATTTGGGGGTATCTTCAAAAGACCTAAGTGTGTGGGGAGGGGGGGGGGGCTGCATCGACCCTTTCCTGTCAGGGCGAGGGTTAAAACATGTAATAGCTGTGAAAACACACTTGAACATTATCCGACCAAATCGACCTATCTCGCTAGCCCGAGCGGTAAAGATATTCTTGGATTGTACAAACCCGGCACGGACGTCTGTTGATCTAGACGTCACTGGTGGCGTTGCAGGTCAGGCCTGAGAGCGTGCATTTTCCAAGTTTGGTAACTTCGCAACTGGTGCATAATGTGGAATGTACCGCGATGTATGGTTCATGTATCCGCATTAAATCAACGGTCTTTAAACCATCTAAATAATCTGAATGGTCACGCTTGGTGAAGCCATAAAAGAGAAGGTCAGCCTTGATGACAACATAATTGCTAACAGTTTATTTGAGTGAGCACTGCACGGTCGAGTGAGCGCTGAGTAGTAAAATTCCTCCTTTGTGCGACACTTATGTATCAAACTTTACGGTCTCTGCATTTTGTAGCCAATCAGCATGGATGCTTTCTATTTAATAAAACAAACCTATGGCACACGTCGTAAGCCATCGGCGCAAACGATCCAAATTCATAACACTTAGGAAAATTGAACAGGTTCCAAAATTACACACGCTGCTTACAATTGACTGAGTGACGTCATAGTGGCATGATCTTCGGTGATCCTGATTTGAACTGACAAACTTAGAGTTCGGATCGCAAGGCGTGCATCACCATGGGGCTGAAGGCCCTTGCTTTGCACAAAGTTATTATGATATATTCATTACCCAGGGTCAGAAATAAATAGCATGGCTTAATTTAAGTACCTAAATTTAGTCTCGGAAACCTAACTCGGTACCGCACGGCAGCTTCATTTACGAGATCATTGTGGCTTTAAATAACATGACTTGAGCATTTGTTTAACCATCATGAGTTCACGACTCACATCAGTTGCACAAAACAGCCTTGCAGTAAAAAAAAAAACACGCATGCGTATAAAGCCCGATCGCAAGTCAAACATTTCAGGGCTGTCTACATGTACAACTAACCACGGGGCTGTCTACATGTACAACTAACCACTGGGCTGTCTACATGTACAACTAACCACGGGGCTGTCTACATGTACAACTAACCACGGGGCTGTCTACATGTACAACTAACCACGGGGCTGTCTACATGTACAACTAACCACGGGGCTGTCTACATGTACAACTAACCACTGGGCTGTCTACATGTGCAACCAACCACAGGGCTGTCTACAGGTACAACCAACCACAGGGCTGTCTGCAGGTACAACTAACCACAGGGCTGTCTGCTGGTACAACCAGCCGCAGGGCTGTCTGCGGGTACAACTAACCACAGGGCTGTCTACGGGTACAATCAGCCAAAGGGCTGTCTGCGGGTACGACGAAGCACCCACGCGCCAGTGATACCACGGCACACACCGACGAAAGCTGAACAGCTGAGTTAAGACGGCGGGTTGAGCTGAGCCGCGCTCCGCGGACCGTGACCGCCAGACATTCCAATATCGAGACATTCCGATAGCGCCGGCCGCACGGCCCCGGACGTGCCCGAAGCGAATCGCCTGGACGGCATTATCAGACGGCGCAGATTTACATGGTGCAGGCTGCAACCCCGGAGACACCTGATCAAGTCACTGACGATGTTCTATGCACATTCCATGCCGGTCGTGCATGTGTAGATTACAAAGCGATGCATGCCGTGTCCATTGGCGAGCTGGGGTATCAATGCCTGCCTATATATTCTCGGTAATTCATTTCGGAATCATGACGCGCCATTTCCCATTGAAAAGGCTCAGGGACACGGCCGACCAATCGAGCGTTTGATTGGCTTGGCTCTAGCCCTTCACCGCTTACTTTGCGTCAATAAGCTCCGCTTTAAGCCTGCAAATGGTATACTTCGCAGCCACGCAAAATCACTTGTCAAAGTCCATGCAAGCAACATACATGAGATGCGTAGCCAATTCCAACACAATTCCAAGTCAATATGCCACGCAGTTTTGTGATGTACGTGAACGTATC